AAAAAAAAAAAAAAAAAAAAAAAAAGAGTGAAGTTGGACGCAGACAAAGACTAATGGGCGTTTAGCAGAAGAGATAGGAAAGGAAGGCGTATTCACGGCAGAACTTTGCAAGAGGCTCAGCGGAAGGGCTGAGTGACAGCAAGGCGAGAGATTGTTAGGACAGTAAAGTACCAAGATGTCTGGAGAGAAGAAGCAAAAGATGATAGAAGACTCAGGAGTCCTGGACTTATGGGGGCATCTAGGGGTCCTTGTCTTCAGGAAAACGAGGTCCGCTTGGCCCCCTAACGCAGGAACCACTCTAGTTCTTCCCCGTGTCTTCCTCAGAGTTGCCTTAGAGAGGCTAACTGAACGGACTAGTGAACGGATTCATGGTGCACATGGAAGACTGGTGTTGGGAGAGGAAGGGAGCAGAGTTGCATTTGGACTATCAGACAGGGGAGGGGAAGGGGACGTGTTATGTACACGAACCAACTCACCACGATGAACGGAACTGTTATGTACCACAAACACGTAATACCAAAATAAAAATAAAAAGTATTAAGCAAAGAAGATCAGATAGTAGGAACCCTTGCATTGAGAAACACAAGCGCAAAGCAGAAAGATCAGAACGGGAGTCAAAAGGCATAGCTGAGTTGCTAACATACAACTCAATAGCTGCAGGTCTCTAAGGGAAAATAACGCCTTTCTAGGTATTTCTTATTTAGTCCTTTTTCTCCCTGGTGCAGGAGATCAACACAGAACCTTGAACTTCTGAGGCACATGTTCTACTTCTGCACTATTTCACAAGACTTTTACTTTGTCCTTAAAGTAAAGCTTTCTTCCTGAGGAGCGCTTGAGCTTGGAATGACAGTCACCTCTTCGGGGGTCCGGAGCCTCTGCTGCAGGACTGATCGCATCTCATTTGGAAATTGTCTAATGCTGCCCTCGCCCAATGATGGACAACAAAGATAAGAGAAATATAGAGCAGGTTCCCTATGTCCTAGTACCAAGCCCTTTACTTACGTGCCAGTGTCCATTCCAAGCTACTGTAGGAACTACCTATTGAAAGATTCATTCCCTTTGGCTTTGAAAGATTTCTTTTTTTTTTTTTTTGTACGAGGCATGATACAGTAAAAGGATAACAGCTAATACCACAAAGAGGATTACAGACCAGGAAGTGACAGTCACAGGGAGGAGAGGTCAGGGTCCGAGACAGGCTGGTTAGTGCTACCCTCGGACATGTGACAAGTAACACGAACAACTTTCTTTCTCCTTAGGTAGCTGGGCACACAGAAGACTGCCAGAGGAGCGGAGAGAGGAAGAATCAGAGCAGAATTATCACACCTCCCCAGGAATGGGACTGGTGTGTGCATGCTGGAGAGATGATGTATTTCTTTGGCTCACCCATATTCTGGGTGAGACCTTTGGCCCAGTTCTAGAAGCTGAGGCGGGGCTTCGCGGCTCTATAAAGCCCAACCAGGAATCCCTAGGCATCTCTCCCAAGGACTGTGAACTGCTGACTCTCCACTTGCTCCCCTGGAAATGCAGCGGCTGTTGACTCCAGTGCGGCAGGTCCTGCAAGTCAAGAGGGTGATTCAGGAAGCCTCCCTCGCGCCTGTGCGCCTGCTCCCAGCAGCCCACCATCGGTGAGTCCCCTCCTTCCAGAGGTCTACTAGGTCACCTTCTGAGAAGCAATGTAGGACCAGCGAAAGACAGGCAGATGGCCTGCCAGAGGGAAACCTCACTAGACTTGCCAGTCAAAAATTGGCAAGGCCTTTGCACAGCTTTAGAAGAGCAGATGGACTTCTCAGGGTCTCAGGTACCTCTTCTTGTGCAGCAGTCCCTTTCCCACATAACCAGAGGATGCCCAGCCTCTGACGCATGCTTTTTGGGAGGAACAGCATCTTTGACTTCACCAGCAAAACAAGCTCCAGAAATTTCCACACCAGGGCCCCCAGCCTCTTCTCCCCTGTACCCCAGCTCCTGCCAAGACCTTCAGAGTTCTGCAAGCGCGGCATTAGTGACCCCAGTGGCTTGACGTTACTGCAGCAGGATCCAAAATTGTCTGAGGATGAGAAGCTGTGCTTCTCTGGGCTCCAGTTGTATGCCAAAGGGAAATGAAATGTAAAGATGGTGTGCATATGTGTGCGTGCGCTTGTGCAAGAAGAATACACACTTCCGTTCTTTGTAACCATCCCCTCTGGTTTGTTTCAAGTGCTGGGGTCTCCACGTGACGATGGTAACACAGCTGTAGTGAGTGCCTTGGGCTCCCAGACATCTGTGAGTTGTAAACCATCCATATGCAACCCCTTTTCTCCATTCTTACTCTGTACTTGAATACTGAATACTTAGGAAATCATTTTGCTGTAGTGTCTTTGCTTCTCTGAGGAATGTGGGGTGTACAGGTATGGTGTGTGCTCGTGGAGAGCTGTATTATTAGCTTGCTCATTTTCTTCGTGGTTCTGCCACTGTCTACATCCCCCCTCCTCCACCAAACCACTGTATACAGATCAAATGTCCCCGCTCAGAATTCAGCTTGTCTCTGTATTTCTGAGAAAAGGGGTTGATGTGGGTTAGCTCTGCCACTCACCAAGAGTCCCTGACTTCTTTTGCAAATCTGGGAACCCTCACTGACAGTTCCCTCTTTGGTGTTCTCAGTTAATCTCATTATCCACAGCCTGGACTAATACTGAGAGTGTTCTTTATGGGTCACCTCTTCTCTAGATGTTTATCCCCTTGAATCCAGCCCTACTCTGTTTTAAGTCCCACCTGAGAACACACCTGGCTCAGCACCTGCTTCCTTGCCTCTGAAATGAAGCAAGGGTGCACCCTCCACTCCCACCTGTTGTCTCTGCGCCCCTTCCTCTCTGCCCCAGTGCCCTAGCCTGTTCCATCACCGCTGCTGTGGCCTTGCCCCTTCCTGCCCCTCCAGTTCCTCATCAGCAAAAACTCCCTCGTCCATCCAGGTGGGTCTCAAAGGCAAGTTCTCCCACTAAGCCTTTCCTTTCCCTGTCGTCACAGAAATCTCGACTTCCTTTGAATTCCTGCAGGATTTTGCTTGCATCCCTCTTGTGGACCTTGTCTCCTTCTGCCTCACAGCTGTGTATGTGTTGTTCTTGTTCCTCAAGGACAAGGACAAGGGCATCCTCAGGGTCCTGGCCCTCTCCTCTGTGCAACTTTTCTGTCCCATGGCATCTTCCCCAGCACAGGGCCTGGCATGCAGTAATTTTGAAACATAAGGGAAAGAAAACAAATGGAGGCAGGAACAGAAGCTTGATGCATGTTCTTGAACCGGGCAACACCGAAACAAATTGATTTTAAATTAAATAGAGTGATTATTCCTTAGACTACAAGATTAGTAAAATTAGAAGGATACTTTTTTTTTTTCGTACTAGCCTTACCCCTTCATTTTAGTTTCTTATTTTGAGGCAGGGTCTCACTAAGTTGCTGAATTTCCCAAGCAGGGCTCAAACTTGCAATCCTCCCGCCTCAGCCTCCAAGAGTGCTGGGATTATAGACATGCGCTACCACACCTGACGTAGAAGGATGCTCTAAACTACAGTGCTCTGATGCTTTTGGAAGCATGTATATGTTGGCCCTGAAGTCCACGTCCAGAAGTTGTCCTACCAAGACAATTACAAAAGTTAACAAGTGATTAGTTCTTAGAGCTTCTCTAAGAACCTTAGAGAAGAGAGGGAGGAAGATAAGGGCAGGGGAGGCAGATGAGAATGAAGCTGCGGTGGGGGAAGCCATTCCAGCTGGTGGCTCCAAGCGCTGGCTAACCATTAGCCCCGAGCTACTGGGGAGAAGTCTCGATAAATATTTGGAAGTACAAACTCCAGTTATTTGGAGGGCACCAATCAAGCAGGGCAGATAAATAGATGCCAGCTCTCTCTTGTCAGACAAGGATGAACACCAAGCACTGTGCTTACTGCCTTGTGACCATGGGATCCACTTAGTGGTCCTCAAAATGGCACCTGCTGGGAGCACAAGGTGCATGGTCCTGAAAGTGACTGATAGAAGCAGTCATCACGAGTCAACATGAGCTTCTGTGGCATTGAGATAACTTTGTAAACAGGCACCCCAGGCAGCGAAGGGACAAAATATTTCTAACATGAAAAACCACAAAGTTACTCTGAACACATTGCTTCACCGCTGTGTGCCTGATTTGACTATCTGTGTAGTGGAAAATGTCAGGGAATTATCAGATTTCAAGTGCTGTCATGTGGGAAGTGAACATGGTAAGCTTGCTTCTTAGGGCAGGGGAGAAACACTCCAGGTTTTCCCCAGCAGTCAAAGTTGAAAAGAAGTGGATGGGTCTAGAAAAGAAATAGTTTTTCTCCTCCCAATTCCACCAACTCCTCTGCCATTTTGTCTCTGTCTCCATTTGGAAATACTTTTGTTTTTTTTCTGGTATCATAAATCGAACTCAGGACCTTGCACTTGCCAGGCAGGTATGGCACCAATGTGCTAAACCCCTGGAATTGCTCTTTTCTGGGTACGCCCACAGCTCTACTCTACGGTGTATTAAGTTTAAGGTGCCTGCTTCCTCCATTAGGTTATGCCCTTTTTGTGGGCACAAACAATCTCTTATTCACTGTTGCATATAAGCTCTTTATCAGACGTGCCCAATAAATATTGAAGCTAGAAGGGGCAGTACATAGCTGTCATCCTGGCACTCCAGGAAGCTGGCTGAGGCACAAGACTGCAAGTTCGAGCCCAGAGTAGGAAACTTAGTGACTTAGTAGGACCTTGTCTAAAAAAAAGGATGGGAATGGAGCTTAATGTGAAGGACCCGGGTTCAACTTCCAGTACCACAGAAAGAGAGAAAAGGAAGGAAGGAAGGAAACAGAAAGCGGGTGGGAGGGAAAAGAAGGGAAGGGAAGGGAAAGGAAGGGAGGAGAGGAGAGAGAAGAAATACTGAGACTCTATCAGAAAACATAGGATGACAGCAAGCAGAAAACTTTCCTTAAAAGTAACAAAATGGTGGGTGTGTCCCTGTGTGGCAAAAGAAATGAATGACAAAGGGGAGGGGAAGATAATGAAAGGTGCACTTAAAATGAGTGAAATTGTATGAATTGTGTCCTTTGAGGCCTTCTGATATGTACAGAAATAAAGCATATGACAATACTAGCTCACAGGGACAGAGATGGTAAATAAGATTAGAAGGCGGTAGTATTATTTATGTTTATTTTTAATGGACACATAGTATTTGTACATATTTTTAGGGTACATAGGGTGTGACATTTCAATATATGTATAGATGTGTAATTATCAGATTGGGACAACTGGCATTTCCATCAGTGCAGATGTTCATCCTTTCTTTGTATTGGGAACATTCAAAATCTTCTCTACTAGCTATTTTAAAATATTCAATTAAATTTCTTTCAGTACCGTGGATCGAACTCAGGGCCGTGTGCTTGCCAGGCAGGTGCAGTGCCACCGAGCTACATCCCCGGCCCTGAGTTCACTGTTGTCAGTCACAACTATACCATTGTTAGAAGTTTTCCTTCTATTCAAGTGCATTCCTATACCCACGAACCATTTTCTTTCCATCTCTCCCTTCCCTATGTCATTTCATTATCTGGTAACCACTATTTTATTCTCTAGTGTTTTGAAATCAGCATTTTTAATTTTCACATAATGAGTGAGGGGATACAATATTCATCTTTCTATATCTGACTTATTTTACTTAACATCACATTCTCCAGTTCCATTCATGTTGCTGTAATAATGTAATTTTATTTTCAATGGCTGAATAATATTCATATATTATATATATATATATGTATCCAGTTTATCCACTCAACTGTGATAGACAACTCAGTCGATTCCATATCTTGGGTAGTATGAAGAGTGCCACAATATATAGGCCAGTGTAGATGTCTTTTAAGTTTCAACTTCTTTGGATATATAGCCAGTGGCAATGTTGTTTGATTATATGATAGCTCTACTTCTAGATTTTCTTGAGGAACTTCCATACTGTTTTTCCATAATGATTGTATTAATTTACATTCTCATCAATAGTGTATGCAAATTTCTTTTCTGTGTGTGTGTTTGCCCTTTTTTTTTTTTTTTTTTTTTTTTTTGGTACCGGGGATTGAACTCGGGTCCTTGCACTTGCAAGGCAGGCCACCGAACTGCTGAGCTAAATCCCCGGCCCCTGTTTTATTTTCCTTTTTTGATAATAGTCATTCTAACTAGGGTGATGTAACAGTTAAGCTTGACTGTCAACTTGATTGACTTGACAGCCACGCAGAATATTAGTAAAGTACACATGGAGATGTGACCTTAGGCACTATCCCTGGACCCTTTCTATCTGGCGCTGTTCTCCTGGCACCGTTCTCTGCTTTCCAACCACCATGAACTAAGCAGTTTTGCTCCTCCACACCCTTTGCTGTGCCATTTCTGCCTTGAAGTCAGCTGACCATGGACTAAATCCTTTGATACCATGGGCCAAATACACCTCTTCTAAATTGTATATGTTGGGTATTTGATCTCAGCAACAAAAGACTGACTAATACAGATGAAATATATCATTATGGTTTTGATTTGGATTCCTCTGTTGATTAGTGATTTTGAACCTTTTTTCCTGTACGTGTATGCTGATTATGTGTACGTGCTCTTTGAAAAATGTCTTTCAGCT